CGCCTCCATGAATAAAACAAGATAGCACCGGCTCTCTCTACCCGTCTCGTTCCCCATCGCGAAATAGTCCATACGCCAAAACGAGACGGCCGGTGATCCGAAGCAGAAATGCAATAAAACCTTGTGCCTATACGTGAGATTTTCTTCTATATTCCGTATATCTAGCGGGCTATATGTAGCTGTTTTGTTTTATTTGTTAAGCAGACGGTTTGCGCACGTGTTAATTTTCGCTTAATTTCGGATAATGACGTTACTTATTTCATTTGATCTGTTAGTAAAAACCTGCGGTTCCGTTTCAAATTGAATTTCACGTGTTGCGATAATGGAGACTTTAAATAAAAAGCGAGGTATTTTTCAACGCTGCTAATATTATTCGATTGCTTTACCGTTCTGTTAAGGTAAACTCGATACATTTATAATTGTATTGCTCGCACCTCTTTTTAAACGATAGGGCGATTAAATAGTTACTACGTGTGTATTTATTAATATTTCTAATTTCTCGTTCAAAAATTATACTGTAACAACTGAAGAAAAAATGACAGTTTATTTAAACTAATCTCGAAAGTTAAACAATAATAAGATATGGGCAATGTTAAGTTAAATAGAAAAAGGTATGCCAGATACGCTTCTCGAGCTCGTTGGTAATAGTAGCAATGTATGGCTGATCGATGAGTTCGATCCCCATTGGGTCCAACATTTGTCAACTTATAACTATTTGAATCATGTTGGACTGCACCTGGATATTAAATGAGTGGTAAGAAATAAATATTTCGTCGGGGTCACGCACCGCGTTTAAACGTTATTCGGTTGCAGTTTACGGTTTTCCGAATATCCAAAGGCGAAATAGGTCGACGGCGTATCTTGTTTAGATGTTATATAGCTGGTGTATTTCATCAACCATCAATTGTTGCATCAACCCTGTGCTTGACTGTCTTTCTCTATGATAAAAATTCCACTGCAGGGAATAGATACGTCCACTATCTAGTTATTCAAACGGACTTTTAAAAAATACTGATATTTTAAGTTCAAGTTTCGCCTCTTTGTTAACAAATTAAAGGAAATGCAATGACTCGTAATTTTTTATGAAAAGTAAACAGATTATATTTACATTTGGTATATTGTTATCGAAGAAACAGATTATAAAACGGCTCCTAATATATAATGTACAAATACCTACTACAATTGCGGTACACTGGTGAATCAAATTTGCTTGCTTAAAAATTGTGCAACTGTTTATCTATCTTTAATTTTTTATATATGCATAATATCAATCAATTTTGAAGTTTTTAAAACTTGACCTAACGTTTGAAATAAAGTACATCAAACGGCTCGTGGGAACGGAAACAATGTAGGATTTATATAAACCACTTTAACGATTTAAAACGCGATATATTTGAGTTAAACTTGTTTGAAAATTATTTTTAACTACGGCACGTTTTGTTGGAGCGGGTCACGGGGAGTCTCCCCGTTTAACTAAAATATATCGTGTTTTAAGCCGTTAAAGTATTTTATTTAAATGTGTACTACTCACGTTAACTACAGACAGTAACAATGTAGGATGCCACAGTTCAAACAAAAATAGGTTGACGGCGCATTTAAATTATTATGGACACAAGGGAAAAATCCTTTTGTTTGCCTATATTTAGACTATGACGTCGTAGCTTTATTGTTATTTATTAGCGTTGTTATTAAGGTATACCAGCGTACTGTACAGACTATGTTTAATTACGGCCGTTGACCTAATAAAATACATAACGACCACTTACTATTTCACTAATTGTATATTGAAAACGGATTGTCATAAGTAAATTGTGTAAGGCTTTAATGGACATCGTTCAGCATATCATTGTTTTTCGGGCTGTTCGGCCCTCGTGAGCATAAGGAGGTTCTCGACGTTTAAGTTCTTCGAGCAATCGAAGAGCTTACACCTCCTGATGGCGCCGTCCTCACGTGATGGCGAAACGTCGAGAACCTCTACTCGCTCACGTTGGCCGAACAGTCGAAGCAAATATGCTAATTGTCATTAGTATTATAACTGAACTAGCTGTTTCAGCAATATCGTCCGATAATAATATTTATTTTGCGCATCCTAATTTGATTCAGCCGTTCGGTGTCCACTGCTGGACATAGACCTCCCCCATTTCGGTCCCCCAGGTCGTTCGCTAGTAAAGTAAGTAAGTAAGTACTTACTTACTTACTTACTCTAATTTCCCATAAAAATGCGGTAACAAAAATGATAAATTTGTTTCATTGTATGAGATTTTTTCGGTTTTAAATATTCTAAAAATATAAATTAACATTAATTGGTATCATGAAAAATAAATTTAAGATTAATATTCCCGAACAAAAACTTTTCAGCCGTAGTTATGGAAATTAACAAAAATCTTGAAGTTATAAGCAATGGAGATTTTCAGCAGTTGGTTTAGCTGAAAACCATAGTCAATTTAATCTTATTGTGCCGAAAGAAAAAGAAGTATATTTTTTTAGTTTGATTAAGAAATCTATAAAATTAGTGAGAGTTGAATCTACGATAGACACACTACCAAGATAAATCTATCAACTGAGCTTTTGTAGCACTTTCGTGCCTCGTCATGGCTTCGTGTCTTGCCTGTCATAGATTTTCAATTGAACAGTATTTTTTAAATAAACTCTCTTGTACATTAGTAATAAAAAATAATTCTTCTAATCTGGGTAAGTATTATATACCTACATTATTATAATTAAGTGTGTAAAGTGTATGTGTTAAAATGTATTCAGAACAGTTACCATGTCTATATGTACAATATATGGAGATCTTCTGGTGACCGATGATAATACATTTTCTGAAAGTAAATAGTTATTACACGGTTATTAGTTCTTGAGCATAGATTTCAATGTTGTATCGGAAATATTAATCTTGTTTAACTTAGATATAAGTATTTTTATTGCTCGAAACATGGCATTGAAAGTTATTAATACTGTCTTTGTTTAAGATGTTTAAACGTGCAAAATGTACAAACTTGATTTGGGAATTTTCTACAAATGATTATTATTAAATTATACGTAATAATGTTGTTATAAATATTCAATTTATGTATCTTGAATTTTATTCGGTTAATAAAAATAAAAATTGTTGAGAAAAAAAAAAAAAAAAAAAAAAAAACAGCAAACGGTGTTTAAAAATAATAAATATACATAACAGCACTAAAAAAGTTACGGACTAATTAAATATAACATTGAAATATTTAATAGATACTTTGTAAATGAACTGTTTTCCATTTTAGTTAGGTAATGTTTTATTTTTTCAGACTTTCAATTGATTGCTATTATAGTTTTATCCCTAACTCAATGAATAGTCATTTTAAAAATTCAATTATTTTGAAAATAAAATTAAATAATTTTTATTATCATTGTGCATTTACAAGAAAAAATAAGATTAAGTATATTCAGGGAACAAATGAGAAAAAGAAGAGTTACTGAAAAAGTAGTAATATTGAATTGTCCATATTTTAATTCCAATAGTGTACGTATACAGATAGGCTGTAACGTCATATTAATAGTTTTTACTGACCGTAAAATGAAAGAATAGTTTTACTGCTACGCTCGTAAAGCCGTCGCTACAAGCTTGGTTCTACGACGCAGCGTAGGCCTACAAATTTCGTAGCTGTACGCGCTACGACACTCCTATCAAGATTCTATAAAATATTGTTTAGATATCACACATATATTGTTATTTCTTATTAGTCATATGAAAGATAATTTTGTTCGTGATACAGTATAACGTTAGACTTTGAATAGCTTTTATTAAAATAATCTATTTTCTTTGTTGGCGCTGGGACTGGTTAAAAATTTAAACTTATTTCATTCGTTTTTGGCTTAATGACAGTTAAATTTATCCTAAAAATATTACTGGGTAATTTTTGTTTCATAAATTATTACGTGTACATATTTACATATATATATATATGACGTAACATAATCCTCTGTAAACCGACGCCTGCAAACTCGGTCTTCAATACTTAAAATTTATTTCAATAATAAAATCTGAAATCTGGTTTTAAATGTTACTTATTATTAAAACCTTTTAACTTGACACATTTAATTCGAACTATTTATCTTTATAATACTGTCAATCTAAAATGGTTTTAAAAATGTATACAAAATCTACTGAGCTTGTAAAACAACCTGCTAAAGTACTTTGAAGAAAATTCATTACTTAGATACAAGATCTAAACAAGGTACAAATGTTTCACTGTAATAAGAGAAAAGGAATGAAAAAAAGAATATTTCTCTTATTAAATCAGATGAAACACTTGTAAATGATTGTGGAATTACGCGAATCGGTGTTTGAATCTGTTTTGAATGAGAAAACAACAATTTAACTCCAATAAAACGCCCGTCGGGATAACGCCCCAACGGTTAGGCCGTCGGCCGCTATCCATAATACTACGTTCAGAAATCGTTTCACTTCGTAATATTCGTTGACGTTATTAATTTAGTATATGATATGCAAAACAGAAAGGAATTAAGGTTATTTTAATTTGTTTAAAAAAAAACAAATCTGTTTATTAACTGTTTTAGAAAAAGCTTTCAAATTTATTTTTATTATTTTTTAAGAATAGATTGGAAAATAATAGGATTACATGTATTTTGTTTTAAAAAAACGCGGTCTTTTAAATCCTTATTTTAAAATATGTCTTTACGCAAGTGAAAATGATGTTCTTTTTTCAAATTTTCATCTTTTTATTATTATTATTGTTACTAAATTATGGTATAACTCTTCTATAACTCCGTCTGAACAAAGGTATGTCTATTATTCTTTCATAACAATAATTATGAAACATTGAAATCTATGCTCTCAAGTAATCTGAAAATTCGCCAATCACACACAAGTAAATGGAGCTCCATAAGTCGCAATTGCAGCCAGCATACATTAGACATAAACGCGTAGCAAATTAGTTCGTGTGTTTGTTCTGGTGTGTCCTTGGTGATGTTTGATCTGAGTCGTGTGACCTATAATGCTAGAGAAAGCTAGGACTCACCGAAGGGTTTGGCACGCACCGCCGCGGGTCGGTGGTGCGGTATGTGGGACTGTACCGACCCGGGAAGCAGCCCGGGGGTGCCATGAGCCCCCCACCGGACTTCATCTTCTCCGGCGAATACATGGCACATGACCCCCACGGGTCGTCCTCTAGCTTCAACACCTTGGAAGGTGAGTGGTACTGCCGGTCGAAAATTTTGGCGACTTTTTCGTACTTTGGGGTTAAAAACGGCGACGCGTCGCCTCGGCCGCTCGCTACGCCGGGTGATAACCGACTGAGTAGGGTGCCGCGTGACGTCACCACACCGACGCTCACCCCGTCGGGGGAAAACGCGCTGCAAATTTCAAAGCTGACATCCAGTTGCAACACTATATATTATTTCTGCTACATTTAAAATAGGAACTATTTTTTTATAATCAATAAATTATACGATGAATTTTAAATTTGGAATTTAATATTTTAAATTAAGCACATTTAAAAAGTATAAAGAAACGAGTTAAGTAAAACCGTGTAATTAAATAATATTATTACTAACCTTTTAATTAATATATGGAGTGTGTTCTATTCTTGATCTACTAGTACGTTTTATTATTTCTTTGACAGCAAAAGCGTCCTGAAGCGCTCGCACGGGTGGTTAAAGCGCTGAGTTGGTGAGTTTGCGTCACGGGCCACGCCCTCGCCCCTCCACAAACCCACCCCCACAGGCACTTCGCCCCTCACACGCATGTTTACGTCGCCGCCGGCGGCTTCACGATTAACTGAATTATTTAATTGGTCCATTCACTTCTCGTGTCTGTTACCTTTTCACGCTTCTAACTCGGAAAGATTGACGGATCGCCGCCGGAGCGATTGGCACAACCCTTAATTATGCTGATTTCATAACGGACGGACATTTAGTGTCATATCCAGTCATTGTCAATGATCGACGGACGGACAGCAAATGCCACTACAGTTCATAAACAATTTACATGTTTAGCGCCGTTCAATTCAAAAATCAAATGGAACGGTTCAGTTTGACAGGTCACCTACCTGTATGTTTGTTTGTAATTGGTTAATTTTATCTATGATATAAATACAGACAAAAGATAAGTATGTACTGAATGTCTGTACATTCTAAAATATAAAATGAAGTTGAAAAATGACTTCAGTATTTTAATTTTTAACACCAAATTGGACAGACAATTTTTGATTTGGGCAATCGAAAATCTAGATACTGAGATCAAAACGCAAATGTATACTTGCGTAGTCCCATTTAATAATTCAGTTCTTACACGCATAGATCTGACATATTTAGAAAATTCACAAGGTTATGACCTGGTGAGAATCGAAGTCAGGACCATAAATTCAGTCATTTGCATCTAAATACGGAAAATATTTCAACTTTTTCTATTGAAAAACGTATTTGACAGTATGTGGCTGCCTGCGTTGGTATAAATTCTGCCCGCGCAAAAAAGGAAAACGTACAGTGTAGTGAGCCGCACGTAGAAGAAAGCTTTATACATACATGAATACCTCTATCCAACTCTACAGTGAAGTCTTCTGTCTATTCGAAAGCTGTTTGCATCTATTGCTTATCAAACCCACGACATCGTCCCCGCCCCGTCGTTCTTGCCAGTTAATTTTTTCAAAGTCTAATACTGTCATGGGATTTTTTTTAGATCACTCTAAGAGGAAAAATTCTATCGTACATATGTTTTGGTTTTGTAAACCACTTGCGCAACGCACGCAATGGAAGCCCCTAAAAATAACTACTTTCCTCGTTGTTTCCGCATTTTCCACTGTTTTTCTCTTCTGTAAGCCTTCGTCGATAAACGGTCTATGCAACAGAAAAATATTTTTTCTATTCCAACCATTCCTAAAATTAGCACGTTCAAACAAACTAACTAACCTACAAACTTGACAGTTTTACAAAACAGTATAGATATTATTAATTTACATGTATAATCTTGTAGTTCTATAACTTTAATGTTATTTAACGTTCCAAAGAGGTGGTGGTGATAAAGAGGTCCTTCGAAGAGAAAATTCGGAATTGGGCTCGGAAAAAATGTTTGTTCTAAATTTGAAATTTTCACCTGCGGTGTGCAGCAAAAGGTCTGTTTATCATAACTAATTTAGTAGCTATAGTAGTTAAAGCTATCTAGCGCGCATTGAAGCAGCGTGGTAGATTTTGTGTAATGTAAAATTATTTCAGCAATATAAAAAAAAATGTTCCTATGAGGTTATTAAAAGGTTAAAACGAATTGTTATGTGCCTAAATAAAGTCAGATTAAGTATTATCTGTAGTTTACGCGAATAGTACAGATTTAAATAAAATACCTTTAACGGCTTAATATGCGCATATATTTGTTAACTTATTTTTAATTTTCCAAAAACGACATACCGGTAAACGAGAGGATACCCTAAGCCAGTTCTGTAAGGACCCAGCTTCGTTTCTCTAAATACCAACTACAACGACACAGATGGCGCTAACATGCGCAGACCCTGGCCCCGTGACCACGGCTGCTGCAGGTATCTAAAACTTCGGCCAGTAATTAACTAAGAACAAGAAAAGAAAAAGATAAGTTAACTTAAATATTGTGCGTTTAAGGCCGTTAAAGTAAAACATTTTGATGAGAAATAATGACTAAAACATAATTAATTGTGTCAGAGTCCGCAAATAATATCGAGTGAAACAGACATAAGTCGTCAGACAAAAATCCGTAAATAATATCAGTTATCAGAGTTAAACAGACAAAAATATGTCTGATCTGCTGATTTGATTAGTGAATTTCATAGACAAAAATGCAACATGGGAGCTAAATACAACCCCGTTGCGGATTTCGTAGTTGCACTACAATAGATAAAAGTAGAAGAGTGATAACATTTGGGGTCAAAAAGTTTTTATCTTCTATATTACTAATTACTGCTTAATTCTATATACTGATTGTCTTTTGTTGTCACAAGTGTTGTCCACGAATATAAGCTGGATTTCAAAATCCGGTATACAATTCCCTTCGATTATAAACATAATCACTTTTTTCAGAAATGGAGAAGACTCAAGTTAAAATTAAAGATGAAGGTTAAAAAAATGTTTTTATGTCAATTTAGTGATTACACAACTATTGTATGTTTGAGTTGGTTCAACTTTAGTATTCACATTCAAAGTTACTTTAGTTTTTAATTCAAATTATACGGACACGAATCGAACACAGAATTCTTGTTTCTCTTACCGGTTGACGGTAGTTGGGAATGTGCTATAATATTGTATTATTAATTTTAGCGAAATCATAATCCCAGTACATTAGATTAAAGAAGTCCATTATTCATGCACTCAATTAACAATGAAAACGCAAAAGCGCGATTTTAAAAGGGCTCCCGCGGGGAGCCGCCGCGATGATATCTGACGTGTATGAGCACAATTAGCGAAGATCATACCCCTGCATGTGCAAACCAACGGATGTGTATGTCAAAACAAGAACAACCCTTCTCGTAATTATTCGGCCTCGGCCGGCAGATGGCGGGAGTTTAATTTTTCGATTTCGGACGGCCGTACATTATGCATGACGCTTTTATCGCTTGCCGCTGCTCCTTCGGGACTTCGCCCGACTCGGATCAAGTTACACGAAATAGCGATTTACCCAGTGCCCAGCTTCTACTTAAGCCTAATTACTGTGTTTAGAAAAACGACAGGCGAGCTAGGGTTCAGTTAACAGCTACATTCTATCTGTAGTTACGCGAATAGTACACTTTAAAGGTTAAAACGCGATTGACTTATATATATTTTAAATTATTTGAAAATTGTTTTAACTACGACCCGACGTTTCCGATGCTTGGATTTAACAGCCGTATTCACGGGGAGACCGTAGTTATAATAATCGTAACTTATATATATCGTGTTTGTTTAATTTAAATAATAACAGGTAGTTTAGATGCGCTGTCGGCCTATTTAGACTTAAAATACGAATTCGGGAATTCAATATTACCTTACTTAAATTAAAAATCGATTATAATTGAAAAAAATTACGACTCCAGCATCCACGGCGTTCCGTGCACGTAAACGTAACGTAACCTTAACCAATTGACCTACCGTATCCTACGCGTCATCGTCGATTTTTTTCAACCTACTGATAAGTACATGAAACTCACGCGCAACTTACGTAGTTTCCATTTTTTCAGACGGATCTAACATATTTCTTACTCTCAGAACGTTAGCTCATCCTTGAATTTAATACAAAAATATATTGTATCTGTCTATTGGCTAAAGGTAAACTATTAGTATTAATAAGTTATTAGTAATTAGTAGGGTTCCAACTAACGAGATCATATGTCTATTAAGTAATTTTTTTCAAACATATTGGAAACACGCTTAAAAAATCAAAGTGGGCATTCAAAGATTGTAAGAAGTACTTGATCGGCAAATAAAAAATGATTAAGAACATATATTTTAATGAAAACAAAAAAAATATTTGTCACACCTACATAACTTTACTTAATTCTTATTACTATGAAATTTTATCGAAAGCATACGTTTTCAAGTACATATACTTGAGTGTATATAAAAATTATGAGAGAGGAATAAACATATAATAAATATGCATTGCCAGTTTACGCGTTTAGTACACCTAGATACAAAACACTTTTGACGGTTTAAAACGAAAAACTCTCCAGACCCTCCCGTGACCAAGGCTACGAAGCATCCGAAAAGTCAAACCGTAGTTAAAACAAATTGTAAATAAGTTAACTAATACATTGTGGTGGGAACGCGGTAATAATAATAAAAAAAATAAAAAAATATTTGTAACAATAAGACAACGTGAGTATTCGACTCCCGAAAAATATCATAGTTTGCGTTTCAGATTTAATGTCCGTTCAAATATTAAGATCATTTCAGAAACGCGAACAAGGCTTCCGTATTTGTTCGAATTCCGGGAAACAGATGGAATCAAATCGATTCTTGAAACAGACACAGTAATGTGTCCCTCACCACAGACTGAATATGGAAACTAATAAAAAAACAATTACTTTTTTATAAATGTGACTTATGTTGCATATAGAAATAGGCAAGACAATAGGCAAGGGTAGGCTTTATAAAGGGAGGAGGCGTACTTCCGCCGGATGTGGCGTTGCTCCCTCGTACAGGAAGCGCCCAAACCTTTGTACCCACTGGTAGCGGGTTAAGTACAGTTGGAAAAATACTTGCCTGTAACATTTGTATATATATCCTGTCTGAAATTGTTATTTATATTTCCCGCAAATCAGAACCAGAACCTCTAGTGGCTAACGACATGCCACGTTTTTAACAGTGAAGCTACGGAGGTGGTCAACTTAGCTTATATACTTATTTTTTCCTTCATATTTGGATTTTATACTATCAGTTATAAATAAATTGTGAACGTTTTGTAATTGATTTCTGTTATAATCTCTAGGCGATATAATAAAATACACTAGCCACATTAAAATTAAGAAAACAAGTTAAAAGTAGAATATTAAAACTTTAAAACTGTTTTTTAAGACAAAAACGAATTGCTTGATGTAACGGAAGTGTAATTTAAAAATCTAAAATAAATTGAGAAAATTTTTTTTTGACTCGGGCAGGACTTGAACCGGCATCGTCAGCGTTACGTGCTGTTGCTCTACCAATAGAGCTACCGGACTCGGTAAATTTATTTTCGATTTTTAAATTATATAGTGCCTTCACTATATAATAGTTAGTCTAGTTTTGCAATTGTTACGGTCGATGTTGGCGA